TTATAAACAAGACAGCATTAATGTGGATGTTTTGTACATCTGTGTATTAATGTGGGTGTTTTGTACATCTGTGTATGTGATTTATAAACAAGACAGCATTAATGTGGATGTTTTGTACATCTGTGTATTAATGTGGGTGTTTTGTACGTCTGTGAATTTGATTTATATACAAGACAGCATTAATGTGGGTGTTTTGTACATCTGTGTATTAATGTGGGTGTTTTGTACATCTGTGTATGTGATTTATATACAAGACAGCATTAACGTGGGTGTTCTGTACGTCTGTGTATCTTATTTATATACAAGAGAGCATTAATGGTAACTAAGTAACAACAGAATCGAGGAGACACTGTAGAGGTAACATAGTCCAACATGTCAGAAAACAAGGGAAGAGACATTGTAAGCGATGGAATGATCCAAGAAGAGAAACTAAGGGAAGTGTGAAAGTCCAACATATACAAATGATATATCTCTAACACTATGCCACTTGATGTACACAAATTAAAAATGTATCCTTTTACACAAGCTGCATCTGTTTAAACAAAACATAGATCTGGGACAAAAATCAAATTAGGTTTTCTTTAGTTACAAAATTCTTTGTTAAACATCTGAATCTCTGGCCTAAAAGTAAAGAAAGGTAATGATAACAAATAAAAAATAAAGTTTCAAATTTCAGAGTCGTTCTAATGATAGTTTTTTTCTGATTTGCCAACTAACAAAGAGATCAGAGAAAAAGCCCTACAAAGTAACAGAGAAAAAATATATTATAAAACCTCTTGTGATCCTCCAAATCCAAACTGGGATTCTGCAAAATCAAAATTAGAAAATCCTGTTTTGATTCCCAGATCCCCAAATATTTTACGAAAAAGCTCTTCAGGGTCAATGGTTGACTGAAATCCTTGAAACCCAGTTGCACCAGGACCTCCAGCTGAACCAAAATCTGTTGTTGTCCCAAACTGGTCGTACTGTTTTCTTTTGTTATCATCACTAAGAACCTAAAGTTTGTATAAAAATAAAACAATAAAGTATACCTACAAATCTAGTAGTTAATATGTTTCTCATGAAAACACTAGATCTTAAGATATACAAAACAAAAACAACAATCTATACGTGTGAAGAATTGTCGATCAATAAACTTTCACTTGAGATGACTTTGATCAGACTGTATTGTTCGTCTTTATACACTTAAAGTTGAACATTTCTTTTTTTGATGATGAGGAACCCACTTTTTAGAAAATAAAAGTTTGGAGACAGCTTGTATGGGTGATGATAAAAACTTTATTATAAACATACAATGTTTTGACAAGATTATGTCATCATCAGGTACAAGTAGTTTACATAGACACAGGAATATATATATATATACAGTATGGAACAAAAAGGTAACATGGCTGAAGATTGCTTGGTACCCCGGGGTGTTGAGTTTAAGGGTTGGGGGGGGGGGGGGTTCTGTTCAATTAAAATGGCCTTCCTTTATTTTGTGTTTCTTGGTTTCCAGTTTTCTTCCAGTTTCTCTGATGTACAATTCTGGAAAGTTATTGCATGTTATTTGATAAATGACGATGGTATTATGGGATTCTGTATACTTGAACAAAACAGTCCCACTCTAAACCAATACCCCAGGGTACCAAGATACCTTTACTAAACTGTTAAAGTAACAACTAACCCAGGGTACCAAGATACCTTTACTAAACTGTTATAGTAACAACTAACCCAGGGTACCAAGATACCTTTACTAATCTGTTAAAGTAACAACTAACCCAGGGTACCAAGATACCTTTACTAAGCTGTTAAAGTAACAACTAACCCAGGGTACCAAGATACCTTTACTTAACTGTTAAAGTAACAACTAACCCAGGGTACCAAGATACCTTTACTAAACTGTTAAAGTAACAACTAACCCAGGGTACCAAGATACCTTTACTAAACTGTTAAAGTAACAACTAACCCAGGGTACCAAGATACCTTTACTTAACTGTTAAAGTAACAACTAACCCAGGGTACCAAGATACCTTTACTAAACTGTTAAAGTAACAACTAACCCAGGGTACCAAGATACCTCTACTAAGCTGTTAAAAGTAACAATACCCCAGGGTACCAAGATACCTTTACTAAGCTGTTAAAGTAGCAACTAACCCAGGGTACCAAGATACCTTTACTAAGCTGTTAAAGTAGCAACTAACCCAGGGTACCAAGATACCTTTACTAAGCTGTTAAAGTAACAACTAACCCAGAGTACCAAGATACCTTTACTAAGCTGTTATAGTAACAACTAAGTAACAACAGAATTTGGTAACTAAGTAACAACAGAATTTGGTAACTATGTAACAACAGAATTTGGTAACTATGTAACAACAGAATTTGGTTAACTAAGTAACAACAGAATTTTTCAACTAAGTAACAACAGAATTTGGCAACTAAGTAACAACAGAATTTGGCAACTAAGTAACAACAGAATTTGTCAACTAAGTAACAACAGAATTTCTTTAGTACTCCACTTTTTGCTTACTTATTATTAACCAACACAAAAAAAATGACGAGATTACACAATGATCGATTTAAAAGAAATACGTAACAACGCCCAGCTTGTCTTTCACATTACTATATTTTCAACAATACTCATCACACAAAAAGCATTTTTCATTTAATTCCAATGCTAAAGTTTTGTTGTAATTATATCAATAATTAAAAGCAATGATAAAAAAAAAAGTATTTCTCACTTCATAAGCTTCTGAGACTTCTTGGAATTTCTTTGCTGCCTCAGAGTCTCCTCTGTTCGTGTCTGGATGGAACTTTTTAGCTAACTGAATACAATTTTAATCACTGTAAAACTATAAATAAATATTGTACTATAATTGTAAATTTGAAAAACAAATAGTGTGTTTAGTACCACACTAGAAATCATGAAGATACAACTTTTTACTTTCACTGAGAAATTTGTTTTTCATTACAAACGCTTAACAAAAATATTAAATATTCAACAACATACAAAACAGTTGGTTTGATATTCACATAAAACGAAGGCAGAATACATTATTTAAGATAAAGTCTATGAAACACTAAAAAAAATACTTTTTTTTTTTTTTAATGTTAATATTTATATGAAAATAGACCAATGAAACCAGAACTGAGAAATCACTTTAATTCCAGGATAAAATCATTTCTCAGAAAGTACTAAAAGCCTGAAATTTGAAGACAAACATTTGAACATGTTCTACAATCTTTCATGACCAGTAAACAACTAAGTGTCATTTAGAGATAAATTTCAGCCCTTTCCCAAAAATTAAATCACAAAAATTGACAAAATAAAATTTTCATAAAAAAACTGATTTTTCAAGAGTATTTTGAATAAAATTTTATGTTTACTTAAATGGTAAAATACTCAAGGTATTATATTGTATAATCTTTCAACACTTCATTACAAAACACAAAAAAGACTATAGTACTACAGTCAATCTGTCTTTCTTGTGAGTTTGACAACGTTCAGTCTAAGTAACTGGTAGATTCTACAACTGACGTACATAAACATTTGCTATCAACTCATAAAATTGTTCTTTTAATACTTCTCATAAACTTTTCTTTTTATTATTGATAGATCACTGAACAGACAGACAGCAACTGACCGGTATCACCTGCCACCATCTTTTTTGTTGCTCATAAGTACCATGGTTTAAGGAACACTGTACTACTCAACTAATGGGGGGGGGGGGGCATCTATTAATCAACTAACTGCCTAGTTCTCTTCACCCAATGTTTCTATACAAGAAGAACAAAGTGAATATTCATTTTAGCCACTCTAAGTTTAACGTGTTAAACTAACTTTTTAGAACTTTTGGTCAACAAAAATGAAAATAAGCTAATAATTTGTAGTTTGTTTTCATTTAAAGCAGGCACATACTGAGAGTAGAGATCACTTTTGTTGTTTTTAGCAGCATATAAGCCTCTTTTCTCTTAAGTAAAAAAATGTTGTTAGTCTCAGAGTTCTCTACAACTTCCTTAATTTAGTGAATCTTTACTCAAAACTTCCTTCCATCTGTTTTCACTTCATGTCTCTAAAACATTAATGTGTCTACTATCCCAATCAGTTCCAGCAACAATAGCTGTTAATAGCTGTTTGATGTTGAGATGTGTTAATAGCTGGTTGATGTTAACATATGTTAATAGCTGGTTAATGTTAACATATGTTAATAGCTGGTTGATGTTAACATATGTTAATAGCTGGTTGATGTTAACATGTGTTAATAGCTGGTTGATGTTAACATGTGTTAATAGCTGGTTGATGTTAACATATGTTAATAGCTGGTTAATGTTAACATATGTTAATAGCTGGTTGATGTTAACATATGTTAATAGCTGGTTAATGTTAACATATGTTAATAGCTGGTTGATGTTAACATGTGTTAATAGCTGGTTGATGTTAACATATGTTAATAGCTGGTTGATGTTAACATATGTTAATAGCTGGTTGATGTTAACATATGTTAATAGCTGGTTAATGTTAACATATGTTAATAGCTGGTTGATGTTAACATATGTTAATAGCTGGTTAATGTTAACATATATTAACAGCTGGTTGATGTTAACATATGTTAATAGCTGGTTGATGTTAACATATGTTAATAGCTGGTTGATGCTTGTTTTTTAACTGTATATTTGATTCTTTGCTGGTAACTTTTAAACCTCTTCAGCCCAAATTTAAATCTGATGTTTGTGTACAAAATCTCTTCAATAATTACAATACATTTCATTGTTATTTAAGCTTTATCTTTTTGTATAAAAATATTACATATTTTTCAAGAATACTTGATACTTAACAGTATAAAGTTCCATTTTTAACTCAGGTTGCATCATGACAAAAGGTACCAGTTAGTTCTTTTATTTCTGTTTTCTTTGATTCAAAGTAAATATTAGTTCTTTTATTTCTGTTTTCTTTGATTCAAAGTAAATATTAGTTCTTTTATTTCTGTTTTGTTCGATTCAAAGTAAATATTAGTTCTTTTATTTCTGTTTTGTTCGATTCAAAGTAAATATTAGTTCTTTTATTTCTGTTTTCTTTGATTCAAAGTAAATATTAGTTCTTTTATTTCTGTTTTGTTCGATTCAAAGTAAATATTAGTTCTTTCTTACTGAAACATAAGTAGAAGTCATAGATAAAGCACGTTTATGTATCAAAAATACTCCACCAAAAACTTTCCAAGATAAAATCTGGAATATAACTCATGTTTCAATCTACTGGTACATATTATTATTGACAAATTAAACTATTTTAGGTTAAAAAATATACCAAACTAACTTAGGATAATTATCTCATTAAAGTCCTGGTCTAGCCATTTTTTACATAATAATACTTACTTGGTAATAAGACTTTTTAATGTCCTTCTGACTAGCATTACGTGCAACTCCAAGTACTTCATAATAATCCCTTTTTTGACATAAACTAGTTGTGTGAAACTTTCTGGAGGCAACAGTATTCAATGTAAGATACTGAACTAGAATTTAAAACACAAACAAGGCATAAATAATAACTTCTGCTTTAGGACATTTTTATGTCTAGTAGAGTTGAGCGATTTAATCGATTATCTATTAGCATTAATTATATTAATTACTAATAGGTAAACTCATCAATAAATTAAAATTATGATTAAATCAATTCATTAAAAATAATTACTATTGGTAATTCAAACAACTGATTAATCTAAGTTATATCCAATGTCATAAAAAATAATCATATAATCAAAATTAACTTTTCTGATTATTCCAGCTATGGATTAGTCTAAATTTAAATTATGTTGATTGTCACAAAAATAATCAACTAATTTAAGTTAGTGTTTTTGATTATTCCAATATAGAAGTAATCGAAATATTGCCACCAAACTTGTTCGTCCTGCTCTGTCTTTGTAACAGCAAAGCTAATAAGGCCATCTACTACTGTCATTAACACTTAACTGCTGATTAGAAAAAAGGCAACTGGCTGGCAATACCTGCCACCAACCTTTTTTTTTTTGCTTGGTGTACCATAGGTGGAGGAACACTGTATAATTGATCAATGGGGCCTTTGATTAATCAGTTATAAAATACTGGAGATACTTTGTAAAACACATCCAGTACCTCATAACACATACATAACAAGGAACCACTTGGTCCTTGAAGGCTGTTCCTGCACACCCACCCTTGAGAAAAAGTAAAAACTTAAACTCACTTTTTTAATATTCATGAACTTATCATGTTATTAAATACTGTACAGCCTAAATAAATGGTCAAACACTTGAAGGATAAAACTAAGATAGTAACTACCTATATCTATATCTGAAAGTATTATACAAATTCTGAATTTATTATGTATGAATTAGGGATCTTTCTCTTGGACATAGAAAAAAAAAAAAGATTTCTGTTACTTAGTACGAATATGAAGACAGTTCCTGTATGAAAAGAGAAAATAGGAAAGTACAGAAAAATACCTTGTAAGCAATCTATGTGTCCATCATTAATTTGAAATCTTTCTTGTTTATACACATGCTCTAAAAAAACCTTGAAATAATTCAGACAATTAAACAAATCACTTCTAATATTATACAATTAAAACATTCAACTAGAAATATCATAAACCTATGAAATAATAAATGACAAGTTTTCCAATAAAATCATCAGTGATGGCTAGAAACATTTTTGAATTAGAAATAGAAAATATTTAACTTGGTATTGTTCATAAATCACATTCAGTACCTAGCTTTTTCTGATCGCTGAGGACATTTTGAATTAATAGGGTATATTATGAACACATGGCTAAAGTGATAAAAGATATAACGGACAAAATTAATTACCCTGTGGAAAATTTAAATTTGGCAACAAATAAACAAAAATCCAGTATGAACTCTAAATCACATTTACTATTATGATCAACTTATTCTTTGGTTACAAAGTGTGTTCTTAGTTTATCACTTATTCCAATCTAGCAACATATTTACCTTTCAAATAGGTTTTATTTGGATGTAGTGGATGCAGTAAATTTAAGGGAAGGCTAAATTACAAGGGCTGGCTTTGAGGGTGTCCTTTATTATTATAAAATGTTTCAAAGTTTAGTTTAGTGGATTAGACAGCCTTGATAGTCCAACAGGCCCTTTGTTGTTCATAAATGTTATGTTAATTTGTTATATAAACAAATTTATCCATTTTGATCTTTTAAACATATCAATGATATACATTCTGTCGCCTTAATGTTTGAGAACAAAAATGTGAATGAAATAGAATAAATTCTTGCCAACATTAACTTTTAACTAATATTATATAGTAATAATCAGTTAAAAATAATATTATTTCAAGGATCTACACATAACTTATTATTTCTTTCTCTGGTCTTATTAATAAAAAACAGCAGTTAGTTCAATGCCAAATAAATAAACTAATAAAGCAATAAATGTCGGTGACAGTGTGACTGTTAGTAATTACTAGTGATAGGATTACTGATACTCACATTTCCTACTGTTTGGGCAAAGACTTCTCTGAACTTGCCTGACATTACTTGCACGTCTGCAAATAACAGTAAATAAACTGCAGCAGCACTTTGCATGCTGAATATAGTAACGAAAATAGGCATTCATTGTCAAATGTCTTGTACATATATAATCTACTATTAATTTGTATACTCTTCAGGTATAACGACGTCAATAATCATAATTCAGATTCCGAATCTAATCATTTATACATTCTAAGAGTTCTCTGAATTCGAAATAGTGAAAAAAACGTAATATAAGAGATAAAATAGTAATTTTTGGTTCACAATCAAGAGAAAGCAATTGCAAGGTGTTCGCGAATGTTTTACTTTTACTGAACCTAATTTAACGTTTGAAATCTGAACTTTATAGTCTTTTCCAACAAATTATAATACGTATTTAATAACACATTTATCTTTACACGGTGAATTTAAACGTTTCTCAGATATAACATCTTCACGTTACTGTTAAGTACTATTTTCTATTACGATTCAATAACTCTACCCTAACCCTAATTATCTTCATTCGTTTACAGCAACTCTCAAGCATGCTATAATAAACGCCCTCTCTCAAAGGTGGATCTAAATTGCTTATCGACATATATTACTCTGATGATATCCTACATTATCGATGAAAAAAATTAAATATTATTTTAATATTTGATGAAATCCCTAAAGAAAGACTTTATGGTATTTTTATATAAGTTATTTCATACATTATAAAAATACATAATTTAAAGTTTCATTTATTTGTGATTAAGTGTAAAGCTACACAATGGACTATCTGCGCTGCGCCCGATGTGGGTATCGAGCCCTGAGTTTTGCGTTTTTAGACCCCAGTCTTTCCACTCAGCCACGAGGAAGTATAGTTTAAAAATAAAGCGTGATATGGAGGCAACACTAAGTTAAATAACAAATGTTAATCTGTATGAATTGTTAAAATTATGTTTGAACGAAATAATAACATCGAAAATTTAAATAATTAGGACCTCGTTAATCCATATATTAAGTTAACAATTCATAAAAGTGAAAAAAGGAGTTCATAATGTTACAACAGCGGAAGTCACGCAACACTGGGAGCATGCGCGCTGGAGTTTCTCGAAGGATCATGAATCATCCTAGCAACTCTAGTTTGTTCAAGGCGTCCTCTTTTTTAGTAAATTAGCCCGGCAAATAAAGCCAGCAAAAAAGATAGAATTCCATAGATAGATAGATATAGATAATTGAGTCAAGCGAAGAGTAAGGCACCGTAAGTAAAGTGTGTGAATCGCTGTGAATTATAGCGTGTGTTTATAAAAGT